ATGCTGTCTAGGTTTGTTATCGCTTTCCTCCCAAGAATCAAGCGTCTTTTAATTTTGTGGCTGTGGTCACCATCTGCAGTGATCATGGAGCCCAAGAAGGTAAACTCAATGCCTCCATATCTTCCCCTTCTATTTGCCAGGAGGTGATGGGGCCAGTGGCCATGATCTTAGTTTTTTTATTATGTTGAGCTTCAGACCATTTTTGTGCTCTCCTCTTTCACCCTCATTAAGAAGTTATTTAAGTCTTCCTCACTTTCTGCCATCAGAGTGGTATCATCTACATATCGGAGGTTGTTGATATTTCTTCCGGCAATCTTAATTAAACCTCAAGGGAAATTGTCCATTTCATTTTGGTGGACCTTTCCTGGGCTCCTAGTGCACTTGAATTATTTGCTACCCCACCTTTCTTCACAAAGCATAGCCAGCTATTCCAGCTAAGATGGCCAGAGCAAATACAAAGCTGTCTATAAATTTAACTACAGACTGGAGGTATCTGGAGGACAGGGCCTCTTCTGATGATCTAACAGCCATAATGCTTGAAATAGTTTCTGTTTGTCTTTGATAATTGTCTTTTAGCGGAGTACTTCAATAAGGCCTCAATATTATCTCAACTTGATCACTTCCTATTGCTTTGATTTTCTGTTCCTTTTACTTTTTTTCTCCTCATATGCTCAGAATTCTTTTCACTCCCTGCCATGTTGCTCTTCTTTCAGCTATTAATTTTTTTCTTAGAAATGTGCCTTTTTTACATAAGAAAATTAGAAGAAATTCTACATAAGAATATTAGAAGGTATTCTAATAAGCTGCACCAATAATTAAAATGTAATTTATGGAGTCCCAAATTTCATAAATATTGTATTAACTTTTAAGGTATACTATTTTTCTAGTCTTCTTTTTTCTACATATACAGAATAAGAGAGAGAATATGAGAGAGAGAGAGAGAGAAAACTTTTGCCTTGCACCCTGAGAAGTACATGGAAAGATGAGCAGACTATCAAAGTATCACTATTTGGGAAAGTGTATGAATGAAAGCTTACAGTTTTAAAACAATTGTTTACCAATTCACAATATTGTCAATTGAAATCTTCTTCCTGCCAGAGTGTCCATGATTTCAAAAAGTTTATTTGGTTGAACATTTCTATGGTGAATACTTAGACTAGGTCCATTCCAAAAAGATAATCTTGTTATGTCTACAAAACATCTTATCAGTTACATATCATTCTTTCATTGTTCTTGGTGTTTTGTTTTTTGAAGGAGGTTCCACATAGCTGAGAACAGGTGTATCTAATTCAGCCAAAAGGCATCTGGCAAGGGAAATGATCAACATAAAACCAGTCACTCAAGCCGAAGAGAAGGAAGAGGAGTGTATACACAAGCTATACAAACTCATTTAAGTGCTACTTTAGGTCTAATCATAAAACTTTGCATCTGATAAATGTTTGCCTTTACGTAAGCAACACTTGGCTTTTTTCAAACAGGACAGGTATGTGTGTGTGGGGGGGAAGGCAATGGGTATGTAATGCTTTTTGGAAATTTTGACACACAGAGACCTTTTAATGAAGACAGTATTACTTTATTCTCTTTGGTTTTCCTAAGAAATTAGACATCACTAAACAATTAGGTGTTTCCCAAAAATACTTAATTTTTCGAAAAACAAAACACAACAAAACACACAACCCAGACAACTTTTCTCTTTGCAGTTTTTCACATTAACTTACAAGCCACAAAGTAGAGTGCTAGGTATATAAAGTTCAAATAATTAGGTTATATTTTCTAAAATGCCACAAAAAGTTCTGACTTCTGTCCTCTGAAAATGCCGGACATATAGACTGGCGAAATGTTAGGAAGAACAACCTTCAGAACACAGCCGAAGAGCCTGAAAAACCCACAACAACCACAAAAGATTGCTTGTGCTAAAAATATAAATAAAGGAGTGAATGAATACTGCATGGATGAATACTCGATCACTACGCAATGGATAAGCTTGCACCAGCAAGCTTTCCTGGAGAAGAATGGGCACAATCCAATCAATTCATCTGTTCACCTTTTTCTTATTTCTGTTTAACTAATAATATGAACACACAAGCTTCTGAGTAGATAAATACTGAATGGGGGAAGGAAACAAGAGGTTTTAATCTTTTGAAATGGGCTGTCTTCCAGTCACTTTTCCATGAACTTTGGAGGTACAGATTCACAATACAGTACAATTTTTAATAAAGATATGGCTGCAACACCCACAAGCATTTGAAAGGTAATTTTGCACAAGAAAGCAGCCAGCAAAGAACGGTTTGAGGGAAATTTTTCCTAAGGATGTTTTTAATTATTTAAAAAGCAGGGCTCAAGAGTTCACATTGGCATGTAAGATGTTTCTTATGCTTTGGCTATGCCAAACCTATGAATTAATGACTTCCAAAAAATCTCATCATTCACAGTCCTACACAGGTCTTTGTAAATTAAAAGGTAGAGCTTCCTAGATTGAGTCAATCTATTTTATGCAAAGTATTCATCTCTTCATATTGCCCTCATCTTGTCTTGCTTTGCCATGATACATCCAACGTACAAAAGCCTTCGCTGAATCATTTCAGATTCTAGTGAGAGCTTGCACTCATTTTGATCCTGAACCCATTCATTTGTCTTTCTAATCACCCATCATACCTGTAAGACTCTAGCAATCTTCCAGTTCCATAGTCTGAATTTATTCAATTCTTTTCCTCACAGTTTTTTTCACTGTTCAGTTTTCACATTCACATGCAGCAATCAAGAATAGCACAGTACAAATGATCATGGCTTTGACCTCCTTACACTCCAAAATCTTTTTTAGGTTCTTCACAGCCACCCTTACAAGTCTGAGTCATATTCTGATTTTTTGGCTAGTCTCCACTTGGAATGATGATTGAACCAAAATATAGAAATTGCTTAACATAATCCACCTTTCTATACGATACATGCTGCGGATACATAACACATCTATTTCTAATGATAATAATAATACTGTACTCAGAATACAGCTTGTGAGACTACATATAACATATAGCAACAGATAAGAAACTGAAAAAGTCCAACTTGCCCTGCCATTAAAAGGTTGTCATCAGGATCCTGAAACCAATGCAATAATTTCTCTCCTACTTGTCTAAAACTAATACTAATAATATTGTAAAAGCAATTCTGGATCTCAAAGCTTAGGCTTGTTTCACACTAAAAAGTATCCTT